ACAACACATCTTCCCTGACATATCATAAATACGGGACAGTGGTCACACCATTTATGAATGGGAAGCTTCAGGCGAGGCTGGTATCGTGTTGACATAACCCGTCTCTATGGTGGTACTTGTACTTTCAACACACACCCTGCATTCATCAAACCAGGTGGCACGCTCTAGGGAGCGCGGGTTAAACGACGAGGCCACGTGAGTTGTCAAGCGCGCTCAATTCAAACTGGGCTGACGGGTACGGTCTGTCTATTCAAGGCAGCACGCTATACGCATAGCTCTATTCATAACCTTTTACTTTTGTTTTCTTACGAATTCTTTTCTGCCTTATAAACACACACACCTTTCATTCCCCCTCACCTGTGACGCGCTGTTGATGCATGAGTCATCCTATCCGATCACGTGACTTGGATCAACCAATCACCTTCGCATTCGCCTGGATCAACCGGATCAACCAAAACCAGCGTCTGCGCCCTCACTATATACTACTGACGGCAGCACCCGCTCCTGATCCACAGTTGACGATGTTCCACTTGAGTCGTGATCTGCGACTGGAGCCGACAACTGATGCTCATCACCTTCCAGAGTAGAAGCTGGCATGTCCTCAAAAACGAGCCTGCCATTTTTATATTAACACCTCTTGTTCTCAGATCTGAGCAAAGTCAGTTTCTCAAGCTGTCGTTTATTACGAATAATTGCAAGAAACCGAGCAAAAACAATAAAACACGTGAACATAGCAAAAGGTATCCTATATTTCCAATCAAACTTTGTTTATAAGAATATTTTACATAAAGGGGCGATATGTACGATATTAACCCTTAATATAAAAAAAATATTTTTTACATTTAGGGTTGTTGGTTGTTACTCTTAATGTAATTTTTTTTACATTAAGAGTTAACACGTAACCCTTAATGTAATTTTGTTAAATTAAGAGTAATTTTTACATAAAGGGTTGTAACAAAGCTTCCTTCCTGATATGAGTTGGAATCTGCTTGTCAGGCCTCTCCAGTGATCATCAACTCTTCGGGAAAATATGGGTACATGTGCAGTGTGAATCTTTCCGGTCTTTTGAACTACATCTGCCAATTTAACCAAAACATGTCCCACATTAAAAAAATTATTGTTAAATTATTTAAAAGCAGGTATGTCGATGATCTGATGTCTTTCAATAATGGTCAAATAGCCAGTTTCCTTCCACTGATTTACCAACCCAAACTTGAAACAAGAGACCAGCCAGTGAAAACGCCTCATCTGTTTCATATTTAGATCTATAAGATTCTGAGCGGCAAAAAAGCTATCCTCGAGACTCTAGTGGTCACCTTCCAGCAATATTCCAGCAATCTTTGCAGTCTACATTTCACAACTTTTGAGTTACAACAGAACATGCTCTTTCTACGAAGATTTCAAAGAGCGTCATACGACTGTTGCTCAAATGTTGTTTGATCAGGGCTACAACATTCAAGACCTCAGTAAAGCTTTCAAAACGGTTTTATGGGAGACGTGTGGAGGTAATTTCCACATTTGACGCATCAGTGACAACTGTGATGTCCGATGCAATTCCCTATTTTGACCTCACTCGTTTTGTAGGCGAACAATTGACTTGCCCTTGTGTGCGTTTATGACTTATGTCCCCGGTGGGGCATGATTGGCTCACCTTTTCGCGAACACCTGCTGTCGTCACTATTTGATAACAGTCGTAATCGCACAATGCATATTTCTTCAACGTTTTTCTTTACTTATAAGTAGCAGAATATCTGCAGTTGTACACAGCAGACGTAATTAAAAAAATTAACATATAGTTTTTAGTTTCAACAAAATCAGTAAATGCCCTATCGTGCCATTAACGGCTCTGGCCTACCACTTGATTGTCTGGTTTGATTTCAAGCCGCCGTCGAATCAGGCAACAAACACTTACTTTTCTGTACAAATTGTGTAAGTGGTGGGTGTTTTCGGTAGGGCAGGGCATGTTTACTCTGTTCGCGAACACCTGGTGTCATCGCGGATTTTCAGTGATCCGTCCACATAATGTCCACCGCTATTTTCCCTTTTACGACTAATGAACACAAATTACAAATTTGTCTGACGTGTGTAAATGTATATGTACAATTATGTAGTTTAGTAAACAGTAAGTACGTATTATTTTGTCAACTATGTAGTTCAGTTCATATAATCAAAACAGCATCGAACCTTATTGTTCAGGCAAATTGCGTACAATACTACTCACTTGCTGTCATCCATGTTTCATGGTATAGCCCTCCATCTGTGTATTTGTCATCATTCACCTAATGCTCAGTTAATGGATTTATTACAGGTAGAATTAGTGGTAGAACCACTCAGATTACCTGACAAAGATTATGCAAAATAACTCAATCACGTTCACATCTGTATATGAGGGTGTTTAGGGATATTTATAAACCAACTGCCACTTTTGCCTATTGTATTGTATATTGTTGGAATATTCCTATCTCGTAACTATTTGGGAGGTTTTACTTTTTTCTATCGTAAGACCTCCTCCGTGTATGAGGTTTTACTTATTCCAAGTAAGACCTCCTCCCGTGTATGAGGTTTTACTTATTCCTAGTTAGACCTTCTCCCGTGTATGAGGTTTTACTTATTCCTAGTAAGACCTCCTCCCGTGTATGAGGTTTTACTTATTCCTAGTTAGGCCTTCTCCCGTGTATGAGGTTTTACTTATTCCTAGTAAGACCTCCTCCCGTGTATGAGGTTTTACTTATTCCTGGTAAGCTCTCATCCCGTGTATGAGGTTTTACTTATTCCTGGTAAGCCCTTATTCCTGGTATGAGGTTTTACTTATTCCTCGTAAGACCTCCTCCGTGTATGAGGTTTTACTTATTCCTAGTAAGACCTCCTCCGTGTATGAGGCTTTACATATTCCTAGTAAGACCTCCTCCTGTGTCACGAAAAGTTTTTACTTATTCCTGGTAAGACCTCCTCTCGTGTATGAGGTTTTACTTATTCCTAGTAAGACCACCTCCGTGTATGAGGTTTTACTTATTCCTGGTAAGCCCTCATCCCGTGTATGAGGTTTTACATATTCCTGATCATCCCGGATATGAGGTTTTACTTATTCCTCGTAAGACCTCATTCCGGTTATGAGGTTTTACTTTTACCTGGTAAGACCTCATCCCGGGAATTAGGTTTTACTTTTTCCTCGTAAGACCTCATGTCGGGTATGAGGTTTTACTTATTCCTGGTAAGATCTAATCCCGGGTATGAGGCTTTACTTATTCCTAGTTAGACCTCCTCTCGTGTTTGAGGTTTTACTTATTCCTCGTAAGACCTCAGCCGTGTATGAGGTTGTACTTATTCCTGGTAAGCCCTCATCCCGTGTATGAGGTTTTACTTATTCCTGATCATCCCGGAAATGAGGTTTTACTTATTCCTCGTAAGACCTCATTCCGGTTATGAGGTTTTACTTTTACCTGGTAAGACCTCATCCCGGGAATTAGGTTTTACTTTTTCCTCGTAAGACCTCATGTCGGGTATGAGGTTTTACTTATTCCTGGTAAGATCTGATCCCGGGTATGAGGCTTTACTTATTCCTAGTTAGACCTCCTCTCGTGTTTGAGGTTTTACTTATTCCTCGTAAGACCTCCTCCGTGTATGAGGTTTTACTTATTCCTGGTAAGACCTCATCCCGCGTATGAGGTTTTACTTTTTCCTGGTAAGAACTAAGTAGCAGATGGAATTTGGACTTGGTGTTTCAAACGTCGAATATTCTATAATCGAAGGCAAGAAATGAAATTATTTCATTATGGATGACAGGAATCGAATCTGCAATCTCACATACCGTGTACAGTTTTGTAACTCACTGTTTATACCACTGAGACACCGGAGCAGGAGATAATTTCTGTTCAATCTGCATGTTATGACTTCAAATGTGTACATGCTGCGCGTGGTCTTTCCCTCGCACGCTTCGGTCTAATCACCTTCACACCGCGACGACTTGTATTGTTTCGCTATAAGATATCACGGTGTTTTGTATTTTTTTCTTGTTCTGAAATTTCTTGCATTGAGACGGTTCAAACGTTTGATAAAACATTCCTCCTCGTTGTCATCGCAATCAAAATTCTAGAAAGTTGCCTGGGTGATGAAGATACTTTCGTCGTCGTTCATGCTGTTGGCTTTTAATGGAAGTGAGCCACGTGGCGTAAAACCGCGACGAGAGCACGTAATTCTCGTGCAGCGACTGCTTTCGCCAACACATGAACGTGCTTTACAGTTGTCTAGCCATAACGCGCCAAATGTAAATTGGGTTTTTTGGTTTAAATTAAACTCTTTTGGCGGTTTAGAAACAAGAGAAAACACTACCCATCGGTTTTGGTTGAAAATGTAAACACTCGAGAGTCGGGAAATCCCCCGTGTTCACATTTTCAACTAAAACCTCAGAAGGAAGAGGCGTGTTTTCTCCTTTACACAGCAATCAGTAGTTCGCCTTTGGCATTTCTGGTGTCTGGTGTATTTATTTGATCTAAGATTGGGTTATTTTGGTGTGGTGAATGTATTACATGTTATGTAATATTCATGGGACAGTGTATAGCAACAAAGGAATGGTCGGTCGAGTTTTAAAAAAAACATCGATCAAAGGATTATCCGATAATACGTTGCTTAATCACTGTTATCATGCACAGTGGATTTGTCAAACGTTAGTGTTTATGTAGGGCTTACTTAAGCAGATGGAATCAGCCGATAATACGTAGATTGATTTCTCATTCTCTAACTCGGGGGTTTGTTTGTGCTATCTCAATGAGACATGATACCTGTGTGAAACACATGAAACAAACTTACGTCATCTCATCACTGAATAAAGTAGAATTTTATTTAACCATACTCCTATTTTGTCTAAAATTTGATAATTTCGGTCAATAACTAAAATACTGTTTTGAATAAAATAACTATTTAAAAAATATATACGATCTCTTAGGCGCCACAATTCATTGCATAAACCAGGATTCGATTATCATTGGTTAAGTTTCTCGATTATGATCGTTGCTCTGTCAAGCATCACACTCGTAGGTTCAAGGTGCTGCCCCGCCTGAGGATTATCCCACAATGGACCGACCCTTGAAAGTCCGGGATAGAATAAGTCTTCAGCAACCCATGCTTGCCGTAAAAGGCGACTATGCTTGTCGTAAAAGGCGACTAACGGGATCGGGTGGTCAGGCTCGCTGACTTTGTTGAAGCATTTCATCGATCGCAATTGCGGGGATCGATGCTCATGATATCAATCACTGGATTGTCTGGTCCACACTCGATTATTTACAGACCGCCGTCATATAGCTGGAATATTGCTGAGTGCGGCGTAAAACAACAAACCAACCAACCAACATAGACCGCCTCCGTGGTCTAGCGGTAGAGCGTCCGCCTGGAGAGCGGAAGGTCCGGGGTTTGATCCACGACCGCGTCATACCAAAAGACGTTAAAAGGTGGTACGTGTTGTTACCCTGTCTGGCGCTCGGCATTAAGGGGCTAAAACAAGGACTGGTCGGCAGTATACTGTGTCTGAGTGGGGTATTCATATTAAACTGCGGCATGGTATCTCAGTTGGCTAGCACTATAAATCGGCATCAGTCCCTACAAGTACTAGCAGCCACAGCTACACCCACACTGGCACACGAGCATACACGTCGCTTTTGAAAAGTGCAATAATCTTGGACGCGACGTTAAACCCCATATCACCTCACCCCACAATGGCACGCCGTGATGTTTCATCCCACATTCTTTACAGGATACAGTAATCGGCAACGTAACGTCAAACTGCAGTGTCACTGCACAGAACGCATCAGATAATGGCGCCACTTTCCACCGCACAGCGCTCCTCCGGGACTCCCCCGTCTTGGCTATCATCTACATCTGCATCTTGTCGGTTGCTCTCCTTCTCGGGGTGGTCGGTAACGCCATCGTCATCCTCGTCTCCTGGTTGGTCAAGTCTGTCAACAGAGTAGGCAAGGACTTCATCGTCAACCTCGCCATTGCTGATCTCTGCGTAGCGGGTTTTGCAGACCCAATGTGCATCATTGGTAAGTATTCACATGTGGGACGACGTTGTTTGAAAAAGGTTGTATTTGTTGAAAAGGGTAGTTTGTTCCAGAAAATATAATTTGGCATCATGTTATACTCCAAAATAAAAATGTTCGCTGGTCATGCTGGTATATGAAAAGAAGTTTTTTGGCTATACCTTTCAGGGAAAATTGGGTTTTGATTCAGTGGTCAACCGACTGACCTTGAGTGCTAGACCCTTAGTACACAATCATCAGTCACAGAACCCGTAAACTTGTGGCCACAATGTCCACGTCTAACCAGTGGTCCTTTTCTTCCAGGCGTTGTGAAGGGCGAGGAATGGTTTGATGACAAGCTGTGGTTCTGTCAGTTCATAGCTACCGCCTGCCTCACGGCTTGCTTCTGCGCCTTCCTCAGTCTCACCCTCGTCAGCATCAACCGTTACACCTTCGTCTGTCACAGAGACATCTACGACAAGATCTACACGCGCACGGCATGTGTAGTCATGTGTATCTTCGCATGGGTAATAGCCTTCTTGTTCGAGTTTCCCAACCACGTCGGGTGGGGCGGCCATGTATTTGACGAGAAAAACCACCAATGCATCTGGGATCGTACAGCCAGTTTCTCCTACACTATGGTCGTCTCGGTCGGACTTATTGGCTCGCCGCTCCTCCTCATGTGTCTCTGTTACATCCTCATCTTCTGCCACATATACAGGACCAAGGTCAACATCTACCGCATCGACACCGACGACCCTGAACGCATGAAGAAGGCTTGGAAAGAAACCCTCCGTACGTCTCGAACGCTGTTTGTCGTCTTCAGCGTGTTTGTCGTCTGCTGGACCCCGTACGCTATTGTTATCGCTCTGGATGTCAAGGACAAGATGTCGATGGAAGTGCACCTGTTTGCAACCCTCCTCGCCCACCTCCACTCCAGCTCCAACTTCGTCGTCTACACCATCTGCAACAGGTCCTTCAGGTCTGCCGTGAAGAAGGTGATTGGATGCGGTGAATACGAATGTTCCTCTTACAGGCCCGATAGCAAGTCCACCGACGTCCTCAAGACCAGTGAAAACACGAGGAAATCGGTGTTTTAGCGGATGCTCGTGGATATCTTCTATCCTGAACAGAAAATAGCACTTCGGGCAACATTTTACTTCGTAAACTGTTTGGAAAACAGTACGGTGTTCTCAAGAAAGACCTCCAAAACACATGCGGGGTTTTTATGTTTGGCCATAAATAAACCCTTTACATATCAAGGATTTTAGCTATAAAAGCAAACTTGCTTTGGTTTAAAAAAAGACCTGTTATCACTTGTTGGAGCTCCAAATATGCTGCGTAAATGCGTAAAATACGCAAAATAAATGACTAAATACGCATGAGAAATTTTAATTTTAAAAACCCAATAGTATAACAATACTTATTACCCAATGTATCCTTTTCAACTTTCGTACCTGTATTTGTTGAGGGATATTAGTGTACAGGCATCACAAATACTTGAACTCTTTGGCAGTGAATACATAAAAAGGCGCAACGCATTACTTACTGTTAATTAGATATGTATATAGTTCAGAACACAAACAGAACTCACCTGAAACAAAATTTTAATCAGAATTGTTTAAAACATATCCACTCATTGATATAGGAATACCCAATGGACTGGGCCCAAGGGAATAAAATATATGGAATACGCCAAAAAAGTGTAAATATCCAGTTTGAGTAAATACTCAATGCATAAAAATGGTATCTTGAGCTCTGTCTTGTTATACCCGGATTCATACTTTGCCACTCTAGATGATGTTATCAGTCGGGGGAATAAGATCGAACGAGTCATCGGATAAGTATCAGCTGAAAAAATAATTCTGCTGAAACAAATACGCGAAATCATATACGATAGGAACTGTTTGAATTGGATATGCCTGAGGGAAACTGCAATGCAGGCTTGGCTTAGTTTCGGTTTCCAATTATTTACAAATTCGACATGCACGTTTGTGCATATCATTTACATGTTATGCTTGTTCGCGTTTTATAGAGGTTATCACGTGAGTGTGTTTGGGGATGGTAAATATCCTGCATTAGGAATAAACATTGTATTTACCTTGGCGAGCTAAATACATAGTGTTTATTCCTAATACAGGATATTTACCATCCCCAAACACACAAGCGTGATAACCTCTTTATCATATAATGTCATTCTTTAATTCTGAGCTTCAAATCGCTTTCCCTCTCTCACAAACATTACCGGAACATTGCGAGTTTTCCTGGAATGCGCGCATTAATATTTATTACGTCACAGGGTTAGTGATGTGTCAGTCGGACAGTGACCGTAGCCAATATAGTTCCAACTGAAATCTGTTTCTTATACAGTGGCAAAGCAACATATACGCAAAACAACAGTTGTTTTTAATTGCCTTTCGCGGCAATCCATCGGTCTGTCCGCTAGAGTAACTGCCCTTTGTCAAAGGGAAGCTACTCTAACCCTAGTCTATGAGACGTCACGGCCACGGTCAGACGTTGTTGACAGTCGGTATGTCCTGTCATAACGTTAAGAAATGTAGTCAGATGTACACACAGCGACAAAACGAAACAAGGTAACAATTCAAACATATTTCGGCCAAATCCAACTATTTTAATTTATGGAGGTTTCAAGCCGCAGAGGTCTACGAGCACAGATATGGCTATTGATCCCGCTTGGCTAGGCTTCGTGCCCTCGCATATTTGTTTCTCCAAAGTTGCCAAAACTTATAAAATGCCTTAGCGACGTCACAGTTAGACACTGATTTTCAGTACATTAGACTGTTCTTTTGATAATGATAGCAATTATCCCTGTAGTTTCTCCAGATTCCCGATGGTTAATTCTGACTCGATCGCCGAATGACGAGGGTGACGCCATGTTTGTTTATAAACAGTGAAAGTAGTCCCTACTTGACCTTTGATATTTGCATCTCTATCCGCAGATGACCCCAACGTATATCGTTTTTATCCGTTGGCTTTATCCTGCCGAGAAACCTACCCATTATATGATAAATTGCAATATTATGCAATATTCCGGTGTCTCATTCTGAAAGTGGTTTTTTTATTTTATTTTTCAACATAATCTCCCTGCATTTCAATACACTTCTCATATCGATAGTGAAGTTGTTTTTTTAATCCCAGTCAAGGAGAAGTTTTCTGAAGCCTACCTGAGGTCATCATAGTGCTTTCCACGAAGGTGGTCTTTCAGTTAAGGTTGGTTGGTTGGTTGGTTTGTTGTGTTAGGCTGCACCCAGCAATATTCCAGCTATGACGGCGGTCTGTAAATAATCGAGTCTGGACCAGACAATCCAGTTTAGGAAACAGGTGAAACTCACTGGGTGCCAGGTCTGGCGAGTATGGACGGTGAAGAATCTCTTCGAACCTACATTGTCGCACATCAGCCTTTGCAAGTCGAGAGCTGTGAGCAAAGGCATTGGCATGGGGAAAAAAGAACTCCAGTCGTCAGTATTCCTCGCCGCTTTTCTTTGATAGAATCTCTCAGGCAATGAAGCAAATTAGCATAATAGGCACCGGTAATCGTCTTTTGACTTTCTAATTAATCAACAAGGACCACACCCTTTGCATCCCAGAATACAGGGGCCATAACATTCTTCACTGATCTTGAAGACTTGAATTTCTTTGGTGCCGGAGAAGTGGAATTCCATTTATAAACCTCTAACGATGTTATAAATATAGGTTCGAATTATCTCGAGTCAACCCGGGTAAGCGGGCATTCCAGCTTAAGTATGCCCGTATAAGTGGGCATTCCACCTTAAGTGTGCCCGGGTAAGCGGGCATTCCAGCTTAAGTGTACCCGGGTAAGGGAGCATTCCAGCTTAAGTATACCCGGGTAAGGGAGCATTCAATCTTAAGTATACCCGGGTAAGGGAGCATTCCAGCTTAAGTATACCCGGGTAAGGGAGCATTCCAGCTTAAGTATACCCGGGTAAGGGAGCATTCAATCTTAAGTATACCCGGGTAAGGGAGCATTCAATCTTAAGTATACCCGGGTAAGGGAGCATTCCATCTTAAGTATACCCGGGTAAGGGAGCATTCCAGCTTAAGTATACCCGGGTAAGGGAGCATTCCAGCTTAAGTATGCCCGTATAAGTGGGCATTCCAGCTTAAGTGTGCCCGGGTAAGCCAGGCATTCCAGTTTAAGTGTGTCCGGGTAAGCGGGCATTCCAGCTTAAGGGTGCCCGGGTAAGCCGGGCATTCCAGCTAAAGTGTGTCCGGGTAAGCGGGCATTCCAGCTAAAGTGTACCCGGGTAAGTGGGCATTTCAGCTTAAGTGTGCCCGGATAAGCGAGCATTCCATGAAATTTATAACATTTTATAACCTAGCCTCTTGATGTGAACACAATTGTGTTTGATGATTGGTTAAAAGTCAGAAATCTTTTTTAGACATGAAAATTCCATGACGAGAATCGAACCTGCAACCTTTAACTCGGGATCATAGTGGTAGACCCATGTTTCATCACCCGATACTAATTTTTTTTTTCTTTTTTATAATTTGACGAAATCCCCCTCAAATAGCTCTATATTTTTTCCTTAAGACCAGAATTTAGAAACGTTGGAACCTAAAGAGCAAATATGTCATTCATCTATAAATGTTCATAAATAATGGTTTCAATGGACCCATGCCTTAGACCTGTGTCTTCCTCAAGTTCAGCAATGGTAATACGTCTGTCTGACAGTATAAGTTTTTCTATTTCCTTAATTGAATCTTCATTGATGGAAGTTGAGGGACGTCCAGACCTAGGGTCGTCATCAAGGCTTGTTCTCCCAGCCTTAAACATAGCTGCCAAACGTTTAAGGAATAGCCAGGGCAATTGTCACCATACATTTGTAACATGCCGTCATTTCTTGGGGAGTACTTTTCTCTAAAGTGAAAAACTTGATGACTGATCGGTACTCGTTCTTTTCCATTTCTGTGTCATTTGGACCGCAATCACGTTCAACTGGCTGTCTGTAATATACAAACGGCTTTAACAGACCAAATACACTTGCAATGTACTACACTGACCAGTTCACTTTGTTATAGCCCACAGTTGAAAGTTTGTCAGGCTATTTGACCAGCCCTTGTATAATTACAATCAGGATATATGATATATATTGTGTGTACAAGTATTGTCAGATGTTATGTTTATTGTGTCGTGAGAAAAGCATCTGAATTTATTTTAAAGGTAAAAAAGTGTTGAATCGATTCTAAGATATATTTTCTTCTCCGCGCAACATGAATTTAATGCAATCACATTTAATGCATACTTGAATGATACTCACCCCCATGTGCTAACATCGCCGAGTTTCAACTGTAGTACAAATTAGCAACTATTGTTGTCACTAATCCCAGATGAAGATATGACAGGCACCTTTTTCACAGATTGCTTGGCAGAATTTTAATTTGAACCTCCTTTAGGGGATTCCGGTTCAAAATCGACCCCCAGCAACCGATGCTGTTCGTAAGAGGCAACCAAATTGATCACGTGGTCAGTCATGATAGCTTTGTTAATAGCGAGTCGCCGTAACCTGGCGGTGTGGATCGTTTCGCACAATATCAATCACTGGATTGTATTGTCCATACTCGACTATTTACAGGCCGCCGTCATTCAGCTGGAATATTGCGAAGTACGGCCTCAAACAACAAACGTTACACAAAAAAATGACGTAAATTCTCACTTATTTTCATGCGTCAAAAGATTGGAAGGATAGGAATATTTTACTTTCTTTTTGAGACAGAATAAAATGACATCAAGCTGCGGCGGTTTGTATTAACAAGTAGTTTAGTAATGTATCAGTAAGATGATTGTGTGAACCACAAACGCCATATCATATTTATTATTACTCATGTCGCAGCGACCGATTTAAGATAACCATTATCCGACTCAACATTCATTTCCAAAGACTAATAAAAACGGAAGAAACTAACATTTTTAGTCCACTACTCCTTATAATGATAACATATAGTAAAACCCTTTAAAATGGCATATTCTACTAGTCCTTATGATACCCTAACTATTGGGCGGTTTGGCAAGGACGACGGGACTAGTGCCTATTTCTAACGCTGAGTTACTATGTAGCCATGACATGTTTTTGTCTCCATCACTTAACTGCAATTATTTATCTGTCGCTAATCCC